ATTCAATACCGCGGCCTCAACTGCATTGAAACGCAGCTGCGCAAGAAAGCCTTCTGGCTGCAGTTCTTTTCCTTCGCCCATTCCAAGGTCCAGCCTGGCCGGCGCCGCTTCCACGTCACATATCTCGACAACTACGTCCTGCGCGACGTCGACTTCGCCGCCCTCGAGCCCCTCGACACGCCCGACGAGAACATTACAGAAAACGCCGTCTGTCCGCCGCCCCCCGACGGCACCGCCCCCTTCACCTCCGTCACCGCCTTCATCGTCAACACGCGCGTTTTCCTCGAAGCCCTGCGCGACTCCCTCTTCAACGCAGGCTGCGACTGCGGCTACGGCCGCACCAACGAGGAGAAGCTCGCACGCCTCAAGGCCCTCTTCCAGCGCTACAAATACTCCCTCGACGCCCTGCCGTCGCACATGACCCAATGGGGCCCCAGCAGCATCTATGACAGCGGCCCCTCGACGCCCGCCGCGAACAGCGTCTCCCGCGCTCAGGCCGAGACAACGAGAGCCAACATCCACATCACCCACCTCTGGCTGCAGAGCTTCCTGCTCGACCAGACGGACGGCATCGTGCAGGCCATGGCCGCGGCCGCCGGCGGCGGCAGCGGCGGCGGCGACGACGAGACCTGGGCCGCCCATCAGCTCGCGTCTAGCTGGGCAGAGCGCGAAGACATTTGCCGCCAGCTCCTTCACGTCTTGCACAACATTGACGGGTTCCATCTTGAGCCGAATGGTAACAGTCTTACCTACAAGATTCGCGGCGTCGCGACGTCGCTGCTGAACTGTCCCTCTTTGCTCGGCGAGAGCGTGTCGCAGCGGGCTGCGGGCTATGTGCGCGAGTTCACCAAGGTGTTGGCGTTTCTGGATCTCAGCGAGATTATGAATACTGATGGCGTCGATACCTGGATCGATAAGGATAGGCTGGGCGATGGACGGGCTTCGGCGACGGCGGCGTCGGTGTCGTAAACCAATGGTGCACATCTTACAAGTAGGTCAAGCCGGGCCAGGCACATTGAGGTGTGCCAACATTCAGCAGACGAGGGAAGTCTTGTGTTCTGTTGTTGCAACCGTGGGCTACTAGGCGGTCTGCGGCGCGATGCTTTCGAGATGATTGAGGTCTTTTTCAAGACGTTTAAACCTTTCGAGGAACAAACCTTGACGAATGGCTCTATCGAAGAGGCCTAAGAGAAGGCGATTGAGAGACTCCGGGTCGGAACTCTTCGATAGCCAGCCTCTAGAATGACAAAGTGGCCATTCTCATCACCGGCAAGCAAAGTCTGTCAGCATCGTCATCAACTGGCCCAACGGCCAGACCCACGATTCTCGTCAACCGAGGATTCTACGCAGACACTGTCAGGCCAACAAAAGTGCCATTAGCGTCAGCCCCTCGGAACTATACCGTTTAGCAGCGGACCCCGTGTGCTCTGCAAAGAGACATTGCGTTCCGACTATTTCGAAGAGTATAAGCTCACTATATTCTGTTGGAGGTCAAGGGTCTGAGAGAAGAAGTGTGTATTGGGAAGCTATTTTGTAGGCAGGAGGGTGCCTGGAACTAGGTACCTTAAGCTATGGGAGGTGCCAGGGCACAGGCCACCTGGCAACAAGTGAATGCCCTTAGAAGCCCCAAGTGAGTACCGCCAACATATTCGAGCACAGGACACAGGAAGAGGCAAGTGCTTCGTTGCACTAGGGTTTGGATGAGGAAGCTGACATCTTCCAGCTATTTGTCCTACCGTCTCCCAGTTACATCGGTTGGCAAACCTGGCCTGGATAGCAGCAACGCGGTTTTACTTCCTGAGTACACTTTATCAAGCCCACTTTCCTTTCACAATCGTCCCAGAGACCTTGCTTCTTGCCATAATTTCACATGGATCGATATCTCCCCGCCCCTGTCATCCGAGCCTTTCATATGCCTCTTGTTGGCGCAGCAGCGCTCGTCATAGCCGCCAAATGGAAGAGAGACTGTAGCTCAGCTCTCATCGACTTGCCACGCGCGGAGGGCCGAAAAGGCCAGCGGGGCTGGCATCATGCGAGGGTAGAGAACCCTACTACAGCGCCGCCTCGTCTTTGGGTTCAGCTTTCCCGGGCCTAGTGAGCACATCGCCTGGATCCAAAGCAACGCATCAGTTGACCTTGATATTAGTCTTCCCACGTCGTGCCAAAACTGCCCTCATGACCCATCTCACATGATCTTGAAGAAAGGAGGTTGGTGTTTGCTTGGATCAGCCCCTATCAAGACATGGATGCTAGAATACAAGAAGAGAGAGGGTCCAGGTTCTTCACAAGGGCGTCAAAGTGACTTGACTCACTTCTCAGCGTTACCTATGATGGCGCTCTAACACGGCATTCCACACTATAAAGACGAACAGTAGAATCGCCTTTCAGGTGACTACGGTCGAAATGGAAGGCGTTATGGAATAGGAGGAGATTCATGCGCCCTTCGACTCTTTTGCCGACCTAGGACGTAGAAAGCCGCAGCTGTGCGAAAAGTGCCGAATTGATGCCTTGCTCGGGTTGTTCGAAGATGTTACGAGGCACACCGAGTCGCTACCCATAGAGCTCCACCAACTACGATATATGACTGTATCGCTATGCATCGCTGATTCATGTCACGCTGTGGCCAGATCTCGCTACAGATCCTTCAACCCGTACCGACTTATTAAAGGAAGGCAGATGGAATTGTGGTTTGGAATGATTGATGGGAGGGAATTGAATAAAGATTTAGGACGAGAAGCTCAATACTCGGTGGAAAGGGTGGGATTACAACGGTTGCGCACCCGCTCTGAGCTCGAGAGGACCGATCACCTTGTCCAAGCAGATCTGCAGAATGGTAGGTCACTTCGATCGTGCCACCAGCAGCATCAGAAACAAAGCAAAGACGTTCTCGGCGGCGGGCCAAGCAGGGCAGCATGACGGCCCGGATGCTGTGTCACGCGCAAGATGTTGCGTGTCAAATCTTCCATGTCGAGCATATGGCGACATAACCCAGGTGCCAGGGCAGAAAGAAGAAATTCTAAGATGCGGAATCCTGCTGCTGCCCGATCCAATATGTGACAGAGTCCCAAGGACTGCATTTCATGCCATGCTCACGCGAAGGAAAGCTCCGAGCGGCCCCGGCTGGGATATCCGACCATTCCGGCCCCTGCCCCTGTACTTAATCCTTCGTCCTCAGGTGGGTTTTTCCAATTTACAGAGATGAGGCAGAGTAGCAAACGCCCAAGTGTCCTGTCAAGCCTGTGTAATCAGGTTCGGAAAAAGAAAAGAGCAGAAACGACGTCTGAGCTTTGACGTGGTCCCGAATGCCTGTCGAAGAAACCCGAGACCTGGGACATGACACCACTTACCAGCCTGATCGCGGACCCGGCCGAATCGCCTGCGGTGTGCGGAGACGAACATGAAGACTTTCCTTCAAGCTTCGACCACTCGTGCCGCAACGAATCGCATGCACGCGGTCGCGACGGCCAATATCGATAACTAATGGGAAGTGTCGTTGGTGAAGCCTGTAACCTGAGCCAAAGTCCTATGATTCACGACTTCAGGTGGTACAACAAGGTCAGCGCTGCATGCCAGCCACACCGGCCGAGACGAGTGGTGTGTGGGTGGCCTGGGAATACACATCGCCTCGTGAGACCTGACCTGGCATCCATGGTGGGCCCTTACTTGCTATGCTATCCCGCCCACGACCGGTGTGGGAAGCAAGGGGCACAAGGGTCAAGGCGTGGAGCAAGCCGGATGCTGAGATGAAAGCGCCGATACGTCCTTTGCTTCGCGTATCGTTGGATGTGAGCCCCTGGTCACCCTCCCAAGCCTCCTATAATGGGCATGGGTACCTTCAAGCCACAAGACGGAGGATTTGCGAGATACGCAGATCGTTAACAGATATGCGTTCTTGGGTACGATGCATGGGATTGTGTGCACCAATGTTCTGAATGTGATATGTGACAACGTAGAAGTAGTGATCTCATCACATTCATATCGATTGGCCCCCCGCCCAGCTCGCCAGCTCCGATATCGACACTCCCCTTCCTCTTTACTATATCATTTATGGTTTCTGCGGAGCGATTTGCGGTTGGCTGGGTTCCGGCAACGGACGGGTAGCCCTACCCTTCCGACGCGCTGACGCTGCGGGTGCCGGGTATCTGGGCCCGTTCCACCAAACCATTGTCCCAAGACGAGCCTGTCTGATGGAAGGAGACCGGCAAGTATGCGTTCTACTGGGTTTGTGTCGAGGTCATCGAGAAAACGCGCAGTTCTGTCGATCTGGAGCTGTGCCGCTTCTTCATCCGTACCATTGCTCAGGAGACTACAGCATATCCTATTAAGTTAGCTTGGTATAGATGCAAACGCTGAAACGAACAAACCACCCTAGACTTACTCATCCCAGTTGCTGTGGTGAGCGTCGGAGGGACATGGTCGATATGTTTGGTGCCGCAAGCTTCGCTGGGCACTTCCTGAAAGAAGGGCACTGAACAGGGGTTGCAGCACTCATGGTTCGACTTTGGGGGACGGGGTCCCAATTGTGTCAGGGTGGATTGTAGGTTGAA